AAAAAATGGCGTCTGATTCAGTCAATGACTTTGATGGAACTAAATGAAAACGTGATAAATTAATGTCCGATATTTACAGGCTCCCGCTAGACGGCGTACTCGAGCGTTGCGATCGCGAATTGAGATTTTAATCTGGTTGTTCTTTAAGATTTAATCAAAAGTGATTTTCAGACAACTTGAACTGAAGTTGCATACAGAGTACCTCACTCTTTCAGCTGTAGTAATGCCCTTGGGCAAACGGAGATACAAGCTGTAAGCAATGGTCAGTGTGAGAAAAGTGGCGGAAGCGGACAATAAATTTGAACCTATCGTCTTACTTCTATTTAGAAAAAAATTACAATAAAATTACTATTATAAGCTCTAAGGGAGTGACTTCCTGCATATTCTCTGCCCTCCTCCCGGCAGAGTATGCAGTTTGTCTTATTTTTGATAAATCTAAATTAGGAGTTATTTGTAATGTTTGGATAGTATACCATCTGATAAGAGGAATGAAGTTATGGGGTTATAGTTTTTTTCATCAGTGATTAAGTCTCAACTGAGGATATTGCAAAATCCTGCTGGTTTTTTTTCTTTGGAATTGCTGTAAAAAGTAGATTTTAGTTTATTAATATATTCACTAATAGCATCAAACTTTAAGTCGTTTTTAATTGCTGTGTTTCGTAGATAGTAATTTACTTTGGGTTACTTCAAGTTTATTCATCTGGTTTTGTTTTAAGCAACAGAAGGGAAACTTTTAGAGAGCCTACAATATATATGTTTCAAATATGTACATGTAATGGTAGTCAAAATGATTTTAAATCGCATTTATTCAAATAAGAATAAAGCATTTGCTGAAACATTAAATATAAAGTTTTCAAATGTTAATATTATCAGTTCTAGCATCTTAATTGAAATCGTTTGTATAGAGTGGTAGACAAAATCATTGTAAATCACGTTCATTGAAAACAGCAAAACAAAAAATTAAAATTGTCTCCTTTAGATTAATTTTGACAGCGCTTAGAAACTTTACTACTCTATTTACAAGTCTATTATCTTCATTTAAATTTATTACATACAGTAGTGGTTAACATCATTATAAACCAAATGTACTAAATCAAGAATTCGCGATCGGAACGCTTGAATACGCCCTCTAGCGGGGAAGATTTTTTCCGGCTTTTATTTATTAAGTTTTAATTTAATTTTATCAGAATCATTGATAGAGAAGGGAGCCATTATTTTTTTCAGCAGCAAATAAGAAGAAAAATTTTTCTAAGGAAAAGGCAGAAGAACTTAACAAAAGAAGAAAAAAACGACCCAGAACATTGGTAAATCATTTAGAAACAGAACGCTCCCAACATTTGAAGAATAAATTCTCAATAATTTGTTCCTTTCTATTATCAATGAACTTGCACCTGATAACTTCCGATTTAATGATCGCATACGGTTAAAGATGTGTGTAATAAGGTAAAATACATTTTTATTGTCTTTAATTCATTATAAATTAAAGTGAAGTCAACATTGCTTCCAATGAATAAATGTGATTTGAGAACGTACCGAACTGTAATAGTTATAGAATATTAATCTTCTTCATAGAATGTTACATATTTCTGTATCAAAATAATTTGGAAAGCAACAATAAGGAATCATCCGAATTATTTGAAATAGTATCATTTGTGTTGATTATTAATAAATTTTTATCATTTTCTTGGTAAGTGTTTTTTAATTTGGAATGATTAATTTCAACTAAAATTCAGTTATTTCGTTTTTAAGTTACATATTGAAATTCATATTGAGATTTTGCAATTATAAAATTTTATTGTGTGGTATGCCACCTTAAAGTAATGAAGTGATAATCTATGCATATATTATTCGAGAATAAAATTTTAAAGCGAAGAACATTTCATTTTGGAATTCTCCGGATTTATAAAGCATGTAAGTAATATGATTTTCATAATAAAAAATTTATTTGTAAATAATTTTTTTTCTTCTAATTTGATGATAGTTCTCCATAGAATGGTTTTCTACGTCTAATTAAGAATAAAAAAATTAACATGAAAGTTTTTATTTTAATGTGATGCATTTTCAGAATTGTTTTTTTTTGTAAGCATTCTTTATTTTACATGTTTTAGTTTACAAATAATGATTTTTTTATTGAAGCTTAAAATTTTTTAATAAAAATTGTTGTCAAAAACTTTTTTTACGAAATTAAGTGATATAACATTATGGGTTTATGCATATTTTTTTACAAATTTTAATGTTTCATTTTATATATTTATTTTGTAACAGTCGTTGAAAAGCCGACTCAATTTTTGGGTTTATGACTACTAATGCGCAACTCCGAAACCTTGTAATTTTGAACTCAATCCAGAAGACAAGGGAACTCCTGGATCAAATATTAGGAGAAACTTTGCCTTCGTGGATGATTGTTTTGATGGAACTAACCCGCATTTACGTTACATGGAGAAGAAGACCACGAGGATCACCCACGGTAAGCCTGACTACAAGGAAGCTCTAACCCATGATCCGGCTACCACTGAGGGTATTTCACGTCAGTACTGTAGTCGGTGCAAGCCGGATGCGGAATTCGTATCGACCAGCTATGGCTGGGATTCGAACCAGGTTCACGTCATTGGAAGGCGAACGCTCTGTCCCCTGAGCCATCGCGGTTCATATTTTATTGTTTGAAGTAATATGATTCATAAAACTATGGAATGTAAAGTTTAAATAGGCCTTTCGTGTTATATCATTAAATTTAGTAAAATGATTTCGCAAGCATTAGGTTTCAACTCTAATAAGAAGATACATATTTTTTTCCGTTTATTTACAAATATTTTTCCGATGTGCTTTGGATGTTATTTCTCTAAAAAAAGCGATTCCATTTTGTATTCGCTTGAATAAGAAAGAATATCAAACATTTTTCTTTTTTAAGTTTAATAAACTACAATAAAGAAGGAACGTTACACTGAAGACGTCTCCAGTTCAACTGATGATCCTGTTGTTCTTCTAGCAATCTCCAATAACTAAACTTCCTATAGGTCGTTGTGTACACGAATAAAATTGCAAAATTTATGACTACTTTTAATGTTAAAAAAATTCTTTTTGGTGAACTGACGCAGTGTCCGACTTATACGCTTAAAGGATAGTTTAATTGCATCTGAGCTATACATTATGTAACTTACATGTTTACCTCTTTCTAAAAACGAGGTAAGTATACTTATCACCCATTTTGTCAACATTTTTAATTGGGTTTGTTATTTTATATTAACTTCAACTTCGATGAAGTACGTTTTAATTAAATTGGTGACACTATGCCAGTTCTTGGAGAAAGTATGAAAAGTTTTACTGTACAATTCCTTTTGCTGTTTGTAGTATCAATAAAATTTATTTTAGAAATAAAAATAAATGAAAATAAATAAAAAACATCCAGTTATTCACTTTTTTTATAACACCAAATGGGTGGAGCTAAGTTTTATGTTTTAATGTATTCATTGTTTTATAAATTTGATTCAAATTTATTTTGGTGTGAGTGATTAAAANCTCTAACCCATGATCCATCTACCACTGAGGATATTTCACGTCAGTACTGTGGTCGGTGCAAGCCGGATGCGGAATTCGTATCGACCAGCTATGGCTGTGATTTGAACCTGGTTCACGTCATTGGAAGGCGAACGCTCTATCCCCTGAGCCTTCGCTGCTCATATTTTATTGTTTGAAGTAATATGATTCATAAAACTATATGGAATGTAAAGTTTAAACAGGCCTTTCGTGTTATATCATTAAATTTAGTAAAATGATTTCGCAAGCATTAGGTTTTAACTCTAATAAGAAGATACATATTTTTTCCGTTTATTTACAAATATTTTTCCGATGTGTTTTGGATGTTCCTTTCCTAAAAAAGCGATTCCATTTTGTATTCGCTTGCATAAGAAATAATATCAAACATTTTTCTTTTTTAAGTTTAATAAGCCAACAATAAAGAAAGAAGGTTACAGTGAAGACATCTCCAGTTCAACTGATGATCCTGTTGTTCTTCTAGCAATCTACAATAACTAAACTTCCTATAGGTCGTTGCGTACACGAATAAAACTGCAAAATTCATGACTACTTTAAATGTTAAAAAAATTCTTTTTAGTGAACTGACGCAGTGTCCGACTTATACGCTTAAATGATAATTTAATTGCATCTGAGCTATACATTATGTAACTTGCATGTTTAACTCTTTCTACAAACGAGGTAAGTATACTTATCACCCATTTTGTCAACATTTTTAATTGGGTTTGTTATTTTATATTAACTTCAACTTCAATGAAGTACGTTTTAATTAAATTGGTGACACTATGCCAGTTCTTGGAGAAAGTATGAAAAGTTTTACAGTACAATTCCTTTTGCTGTTTGTAGTATCAATAAAATTTACTTTAGAAATAAAAATAAATGAAAATAAATAAAAATCATCCAGTTATTCACTTTTTTATAACACCAAATGGGTGGAGCTAAGTTTTATGTTTTAATGTATTCATTGTTTTATAAATTTGATTTAAACTTATTTTGGTGTGAGTGATTAAAAATTCTACATAAAAGCCTTCTTGCACATGTTCTCTCTTAGTGAAAGTTTTAAAATGTTGACAAAACTTAAACACCCTGCACTAACTGCAAAAAATATTAAAACAAGAAAAAAAAAACAAATGGTGTTAAAATTCAAATTAATCTCATCATATAAGCTAAATAAATGTTTTTTAAAAATATAAATTCCAAAAATATTTTAGCATGCGTTTACTAGAAATAAATAGCCTAATAAAGGGTTAACTAGGCTTAAAATGTGTCTTGCAAGAGACACGTGGCTTAAATACTTTAAAAAAGAATTAAGGAATGTGAACAGGATTATTTAAATTTTTTTTACCTATTTTTGAGTTAATAAAATATTATTTTTGAGAAACCTGAACGCAATACTCCAAAAAAAAATTTAATACGTGCATCTAAAATTTACAAAAAATTCTGCTCCAGTAGCGTTTGTGGAAAATCACCAACTATTAGTCATTATAATTAGAAGTTATTATAACCACCTTCATAATTGGCCGGAAGAAGCCTTCTCTGTTCGGTGACGGCCTTCCCCCAGTAGGGGTGGTTCAAATTGTTGCAAGATCCATCCATACTTCGATATGGAGTGTCACTGCAGACGAGTGGAACGTAGAAGTTTTTGCATCTTTCAATCGTTGTTTGCACTTCAGGGTTTTGAAGAAGCTTTTCTGTGATTCCGGCTCTATAGATTTCAGAAATTTGGTAGTTAAGAAAATGAAAGCAAAATGAATTATCTATATTTATTTATTAAACGTTAAAAATGTAAGTGAGAGTGGGAATGAATGTCATATCTAAAGCCCAATGAATTATCTGTATTTATTTCTTAAACGTTAAGAATATAAGTGAGAGAGGGAATGAATGTCAAATCTAAAGCCCATTGAATTAACTGTATTTATTTATTAAGCGTTAAGAATATAGGTGAGAGCCGAGTGAGACCTCGATTGCGTCGAAATTAGTTCTGTTTATATAGTGAACAAGCTCTGATGTAGACTATACTACATCAAGAAGATTGGCATGCTGTTGCTGATTAATTCACGGCGTCAAAGTAAATAAGTTTATTTTGCTCTCTGTAATAAATTATTGTTTTTAAACCAGTCTTATTTATGGGTCATAACAGTTACAAAAATTATTTTAGTCCATCTTATAAGTTCATTAAGGGAATTAATTTCGGTGACCCAGGCCCAGAGGATCCATACCACCAATTACAATGAAGACCGCCGTCACGAGAGCAACCCCACATAGCACGGAAGTACCAAGCAGAAGTGGACCTCAGGCATAAGGCCCCGAGCCACTCAAGATTGCGTGCACCACAATCACGCCAAAAGACAGTGGATACCTAGGGAAACAAAAGCTCCAGTTCGACGAAACGAATATTAAGAATAACGAAAGAACGAAACAATAAAAATTTAGCCCAATATTAGAACTATTCTTTTAAGAACGTACAATAAGACAACCTCCACTCTCGGGATAAGACCGGGTACTACCGACTTTTGCCCCCACTCCCCTTGATGTGAGCCTATGATGGGCCCACAAAAGCTGCAGAGCAGCGGAGGAAGAATATAACTATATTCAAGGCTGAACAAAGGTTTTACGGATACCAAGGCAAAATATATTGCTGGCCCTTTCTCAAAAATATGCACAAAAATCGTTATTTTCATATTTTGTAGAATTATTAGATAGAATTGCACATATTTATATAAAAGAATAACTCTTTATATAAAATAGTAGTTTTTATAAAGATATAAAGAAATTCTTTTCAATTTTCTTTTAAAAAGGCTAATTAATAAACACTATATTTTTGGTAAAAAAATTTTGGTCTTCACTCAGCAGTCCCGGGCCCCGTACTCTTCTCCTTCTTTTTCAGTGTGGCCTTGACTACATCACAAGTAAATTACACGCAAAACTTTCTTAAATTTTCATGCAAAATAGAAATGTTTGCTGTTTTTTTCCTGAGATTTTTTGTGTTGATTACTGTAATCAACGGCCAACTCTGTATGGTGGGCCCACAAAAGAGGAATATAACTATATTCAAGGCTGAACAAAAGTTTTTACGAGTACCAAGGCAAAATATATTGCTGGCCCTAATCTCAAAAATGTGCACAAAAATCGTTATTTTCATATTTTGTAGAATTTTTAGATAGAATTGCACATAGCGCATTATATAAAATAGTAGTTTTCATAAAGATATAAGGAAATTCTTTGCAATTTTCTTTTAAGAAGGCTAATTAATAAACACTATATTTTTTGTAAAAAAATTTTGGTGTTCACTCAGCAGTCCCGGGCACTGTACTCTTCTCCTCCTTTTTCAGTGTGGCCTTGACTACATCACATGTAAATTACACGCAAAACTTTCTTACATTTTCATGCAAAATAGAAATGTCTGCTGTTTTTTTCCTGAGATTTTTTGTGTCTGATTTTGCTACTTAAAATATCGTCTGCGCTTATTAATTAGTGTAAACCCCTCGAGCCATTAAGATTGAGTCCCAGAACGTGAACATCAGATCATTAGATCAAAAGTTATACAGGGTACATCAATGATTTTCGAGGAATGATGCACAACTAAGCAATGAATCTTGATTAAAGCAAACAATTTCTGAGTTGAACAGCTTAGCTCCAATGTGCCATCCAATTTTACACACTCTATATATTAATTTTGTCCAAAACGTGCAAAAACGAGATAGGTGGTGTTAGTATCACCTTTTATTAAATATCTCCTCTTCAAGCCTTGACTAAATTTTGACAAATATGCATAATACTCATATCAGATAAAAATAATTTAAAGTAGTGTGAAAACTTCAAAACCGATTTTGTAAAATTAAATTGGAAGTTAACTTTATGAAATTTTCAGTACTCTTGAGAAAAGTTCGTCACCACTCTTTAATTTTTTCAGATTGTGGCTATTGGGCAAAGTATCACAGGTGATAGATACACTTGGTAAAATCACTGGTATCGGAATTGGATACTTGCACTTCAAGAAGAAGATCATGTGACTTATGACGTCAGTGCCAGTTGATTGTTTATAAGCAAAATGGCGTGTTAAAGTAGAGCTAAGGTCCTCCACACAAGTTAGAATGTTAATTAACGTGAAATTAATTAAATACAGCTCCGTATTGTGTTGAAATGTTATTCTTTATCATCGACGTCTTTTACTTGAATTAGATTTATTATTTGTTTATGTATTTTATTTTAACCGTGACATATTTTAGTTTGTGTACCTGGCAACTTCGATCCATAATTATTTTGTTTACGTCCTACATGGCTTCGTGCCTGCTCTTTGTGTTAAGTAAGAAATATGCAGTGAAAGAATTGAAATTTTTGTGAAAGAATATAAAAAGCGTCACCTAAGAAATTGGTTTAAGAAGGGCTTGGCTTACTCGAAATAGAATGGAAAGAACAGTTGTAAACGTAAACAAAAGTCACGTTTCAACAACCAATCAGCAACGAGATGCCCACAGTACGTCACTTGCAGATATCCCATTTTTAGAATGAGATTAAAATTTCGTTCTTTTTAATATTTTAAAAAATACGCTGAATTTTCTTAACGTGCTTGAAATGGTTGTATAATTCCTTATCGGTTTTCTCTAGTGAAAATAAATTACATAATATAGCGAAGAAGAAAAAAAAATATTTTACTAATTTCGTTTTATACAATCTTTATAACTATTGTATATNAACACTTCGTTTGTTTATTTTTGGCTTGAAGTTAGGCTCGCAGAAAATGCCGTTCATGGGTTAAATTTAGTAGGAACAACACAACCTGTGACGTATGCTATATTATACCCAATTGTATATACCATTGTAATCTTTATAACCATTGTATTTTTTTGTATTTAGATGTTGATTCTTAAAATCGTTATAAATATGTTTGACAAATACTTTAATTGAAAATAATAAATTTTCGAAGAATAAAAAGTTAAAATAAAAAGCTTTGGTTGTTTTTTTTTAAATTTTTTTTTACAACATTGTATTTTAAATATTTCTTTCAACTCGGATCTGAATAATTATTGATTTTCCTAATTTTAAAATGGCTCATTGCGTATGATCAAGTATTTTTTCACTTTTCATGAAATAGTAATAGATATGTTTGTAACCATTCATCGAAAATTGCAAATGGAAGAATATAAAATTTTTTATGTATTTAACAGGGTTTCTTTTAATTTCAGTTTTGTTTTTAAAATATTTTTTTCATTTCCATTCTAATAACCAATAACTTGTCAAATTTTCACGTGTTTCAAATGCTCTTTTTATGTAATAAATGATTTTTTTCTAGTTTTTGTTGATTTATAAAATGATTACAAATGCGTTACATGTATTCATCAAATATAAATATCTCTTCAGTCATTAATAACTATCATTCGAAATTAAGTAATATTTCTTTAAATGTAAATAAGTAAATTTAAAATAACTCTTTGATTTAGTACCCAATACAGAAAAAAAAAATACCAGGCTCTTGGTCACTAATTCTCAATACCTGATTCTCAATACTCAATACTTGATGGTTTGCACTTGATACTATGAAGCTTATACATACACGTGCCTAATATCTATGCACACACATACACAGCACGAGTCTATAACTATAATCCTGTACACACGGCACGTGTAAATATCTATACACGTGCCGTCAAATAGGGGAATACATTAATAAACATGCTTACTGGTGTGCTCTATCTGTAATGTCTTCCAGTTTCGCTTCCTGGTTAGAGAAGTTCTCAATTTCAGGTAATATTGGTACTTTAAACTTTACAATACTTCCAGGCTTTACTACCATTTTTCCTGTTTTGTGTTAAATGAAAAAGCTAGTAAATCATAATATTTTAAAACAGTTTTTCGATTACAAACAATTTATGGTGGTTGTGAAGCAGCTGGGCTAAAAGCAAGACGGAAAAGAAAGAAAAACCATTTAATTAACATACTCAAGTGCAGCTGTTCCCAAATGGTGTTCTCTGGAATCCTAAGGTGAGGTGGTAAAAGCGTTCCCATAATTTGGACTTTTTTTAAAATATTTTTTTAAACCTTTTCTTACATTTAGATTCAGAAAATTATCCATTTTACTTAATATTGTGGTTGCCTTTACGATAATTATTTAAAGTAAAATGCTAATAAAATAGAAATAGCAAATTTTTTTGAAAAAGAAAAGAGCAAATACATAATTTTTTTAAAATAGGAATACATAGAACCTCACACTGAGCTGTGAAAAGGGCATACACGCATAAAATATTGCATTAGTACTACCCAACGAGCTTTTTAAATCTAAAAAAAATGACAATAACTAGATTGCTGATAAAGAAATATGTTTCTTTACTAGCATTTTTCAACGTTTATAGCAATTTTTTTAGTTTTCTTTTCAACGAAAACCATAATTTGGCTTATTTTAATCATTTTCAGCTTCTATTCATACACCGAAAACAAATTCACAACAAGACTATATTCAGATACAGGACTGTGAATACAACAGCCGAATATAAATCCTAATTCAAGATTATTAATGATAAAATGTGGAAAAAATGCCATTCTTCTTATTACATCATTTTTAGTTTTTAATATGTTAAAACGCGCACAATTGTCTTGCTATACGAGGGTTGTTTTTTAAGCAAAAGCAGTTCTGTTCTGTATCTTAATTAGTGACGCGTACGTCGCAACGAGTGCTTGCATCGTGTCACGGCATTCCTCGGAAACAACTGCGCTCAGTTGCAGTTGAGTAGGTAAACTGTACGATCAGTTCTGTGTCTTTAAAATGTTCAAATTCAACAAATCGCTTGCCATGCACGAGATATGGTCTGTGATGCGTTTTTAGTCCTCAAAAAACCTGTCTGCTGCATTCATATACTGGTAGATTTGTGAAGTAGCGAATTTTTTTGCCATGCTGGTAGGGAATTTTGCTACTCTATGACAATGACTTTCTCCGCAGCTCAGATCTCAGCTTTATTGGACTCTTTTGGTTGAGATGTTTTGGACCACCCCTTCCTACAGCCCAGACCTTGCACTAAGTAATTTTCATCTTTTCCGATATTCCAAACATCATTTTGGTGGTAATCACTGCAACGATGAAGAATACGTGAAACGGCCCTTAATGGAGCAGGCGGAAAGTTTGTATGAAGAGGGTATTCTAAATTTAGTTGTAAGGTATGATAAATGTTTAAACAAACTTGGCAACTATGCTGAAAAAAAATAGAAACGTATGTAGAATCTGAAAATAAATTTGCTTCCTGAAAATTTTATTTCGTTTGGTTTTTATTTTCAAACGGCCCCTTACTTAAAAAACAACCCTCGCACTTCAGGTTGGGGTTCCGTTGGAAGAATGCTAATCATTTAAGAGTTCCACAGCCGAAAGAAATTGGGAACCGTTGCTCTAGGGCAGTGTTTCCCAAACTGTGGTACGCGTACCCCCAGGGGTACGGGAGCAGTTTAGAGGGGGTACGCGTTCTTATGCGAAATATCTTGCAACAAACGAAAATTTCAAAATTTTTTATTTAAAAACAAAGTTAGCCATGAAAATTTACAATTACGTATTACGTAGTTAACAGTTAATATTTAGTAGTGTCACGGCTAGTTGTAATTTTTAAATTTTGCGCAATTTTTTAATTCTAAAAATACACTAATTTTTTTTATTAGTGGTACGCAGCGTTACGAGCAATTTAGAAAGGGTACACAAAAGTCATAAGTTTGGGAAACACTGCTCTAGGGGAGTAACATATAGATGTTCTAAATTATAAACTATATCCACCACTATATCGTGAAAGAAAACTATCCTATAATAAATGTTATCCGATATTCGATTCTTCTCGAAAGAAGGAAATGATTATCTTTCAGATTTTTCGTGTTTTCCGTCTTGCTATACATAAAGATTCAGCCATGTTATGAAGTATTAGAAATTAATAAATAAAATAAATGATATATGCAATGATTAAAAAAAATTAGGAACAGAAATAGTAGCTTTCGCTTCTATGATAACTGAAAAGTTTATAAAGTAGAACTAGTTCACAGAATGAATTCGAATTTTTAAATAGTGATAATTTGCTTTTTTCCCCTCGTAAGCTTTTGTCTCATATGTGTTTCTTCCTGAAGCATTAATTAAAAGAAAAATTGAAGATAAAAACAATTTATTAAGTTATTCAAAATTCGCCTTTAACTGATTGAACACCTTGAAAAACTTATAGAGAATTCGAATTTCTTCACTGCTAGCCTTTGTAAACTGCTATTATAATTTATATGAAAAATATACAAAAATTATTTCATCAAGTATCACAATGTTTTAGCAATACATCTATAAGTTAAACGAAAACTTTTTAAATCAATCTGTTTAAATTTGACCATTTAAGTCTTATAGATGTTATAAGGAATTATATAAATTTTTTGAGAATCAAATTTTAAATTCTTTGAATTGTTAAGAGAGTTTTGAACAAACGTTTTGCATGCACAAATTATTTGTAAATGCATTCATTTAATATAATGAAACTATTTCAAAAATTTTGCAAAATACAATCCTCAAAAAAATGAATTTTTATATTTAGCAGGATAAAACAGACTAAATAATCAATCGTTAAATAGATTACTGAATACAGTTTAGTGTTGTAAAACAGATATAAAGAAATTTTACTCTCGGAAAAAAAATAGTTCTTAAAAGAATTAAACAAAATTTTATTTACCTTCAACATTTGCTGATGAAACTCCAATCAATACAATAACAATGATGAAACTAAAAGCAAGTAAAAATAAAATAAATTATTTAGCGTCGAGGCTTAAAACTACGCTGTTTAAAATATTGTAGCATCCCTATTTTAGCATTTCATGCTTGCTGCAACCTTAATACGATGCTAAATCGAACCATATTATCTTTAAACTAGATTAAGCGGTCTTATGGTGAAACTTGAATGGCTCTATTAAAACCTTTTTAAGGCTACAGCAAATTTACTTTATATTATCCAGCGGTCGGAAAAACTACATTTTCTTTATTGTTAACTACGACTACTTTATCACAATTGTAGTTAACTGTAACTACTTTTTTTAAATGAAGAGACTACAAACTACTTTCGAAATATTTTTTTTAAATTACCCCCCCCCCATTGTCTTCTCAGACATAAGGCGTCTTACAGTCCAATACAACACTGAAGTAGCTCCAGAAGGTGAGAGGGCACAAAAGTCATCACAGGAACGAATGTCAAGAAAAGAGGGGCAATCAAATAGATGCTCTCCAGTCATAGGCGAAGTGTTGCAGAGCACACAAAGAGGTGAATTGACCAGGTTAATTTTAAATAAATGGGCCTGCAGATAGTCATGTCCAGTAATTATTCTAAGGCAAGCAACTCCCTCGGCTCTGGGAAGGAGGGAAAGGTGAGAGCGCTGCTGGTCATCAAGAAGGCTAGCTCAGGATTTTCCATCAGCTAAGTCCCTAAGAGCAGATATTGCTCTGTGCCTGAATTTGCTCTTAAGAAGTCACCTTGCATTTCTAAGGGGAACTGGATGAGAAGATGGATGCAATGCTGAAGCCTCTCTAGCCAGAGATCCACTTAAGGACTACCTCTCTTCCAGAACAAAGAAGAGAGTCGATGCGTTGTTTACACTTAAAGAGGAGTTCAGAGGGGTATAAATTATATTCAGAAATGGTCTGAATAGCAGCCTGAGAATCGACAAAGATAACAATGTTTTGTTCAGATGGTTCACCAATAGCTGTAATAGCCATAAGGATTGCAAACATTTCTCCATCAAAATTATCTGCCCAAGTGTCAAGAGGTTCTCTAAGGCTGAAATATTTGGAATAAGCACCGGCTCCAGCTCTACCAGTTGAAAAAGTGGCGGATCCATCGGTAAAAACCTGTAGCCATTGCTGGCAAGGATGTCTCTCGTGTATAGTGGCCAGAGCGATAGGATACAACTCTGTCTACTTTCGAAATATAGTTACTACTTTTAGAAGACATACATACTTTACTGGAGAAAATAATTCACACCAATGTTCAAAATGGTTTTGAATTAAAAAAATTGACACAGTTAAACATGAGAAGTTATTAAGAAATGTATATTTATCTTTACATGAGACAGTTTGTTCTTCTAAAGCACTTTTTACGAATTTGTTCTTTTAACCTTCAATTTCTATGCTCTTCTTGACTGTAAATATTTAATTTAAGAAATTATCAGCCATTTGGGATATAAGTGATTAATGTTCTTTTACATCTTCCAGGAAATAAAGTTAAGTGCACAAAAAAAAAACGAAGCACCCTGAATAACTTTATATCTAATGATCGGATCTTCACGTTCTAGGACTCAATCTTAAATGGTTAGATTTCTAATGATTCCTTTGTTTACAAGATTTCCAATGATAATGAACGAAATAACTTAAGAATATGAAAGAAATAACTGCTGCCAACCAAGATGAAAATAATAGATAAATAAAATCTGCTGTTCTGGAGGAGCAACAGACGTAGATCTTATTAAAGCTTTGTCGCAGAGGCACTCGCATTGCTTGCGTTGAAAGACCTGCGTAGGATTTGCACCAATCAGATTCGAAAAATTTTTTGCGTTTGAACTTTGTTTCTTTACTAAACTTTAAAAGTAGTTGCCAGAAATCGATACAAACTATTGTTTTTTTTTTGTATCGCACTACACGCTACACTACTTCCTTTAAGAAGTAGCTCCTTGCAGACTACGAAAAAGAGTAGCGACTGCAGTAGTACTTCCGACCACTGATATTATGATGGTTCAATCTGCAGATATTGGTGAAATGATGCTTTTCAGACGTTCATACTCAAAACATTAAAATTAGAATTAAACTTTT